AGCGACATTTTTGACCCCAGAAAGAAGGAAGGAAATGATTGGGCAGGAACATGAACCTGGAGCTTCGGATATCTGCGCTACAGACATCTGCAAAGCTGCAATAGGATCAAATCAAGTAGTCGTTAAAACATATGGCAGCCTGAGCAGTTTGTGCAGGAAGCATGCAGTGCTAGATGAGGAATGATCGTCTGAGAAGAAGACAATGGTAGAATTCCCTGAAATCTAAGTGATCTGGTAATGTATATACTTTCAAACTTGCAGGGACAAGAACTAGCAATGGCTGGGAGTTCGGACATTGTGGCTCACTCCTCGACAACTCTGACGGTATACTATTAAACTTAACTAGGTCTACATAGTATATATATAACCGCCCGCCGAAGGGGATTTTCCGTCACTTATACCAAGAAGTGATTATTCTGAAGATAAGCTGTAGGACATCATTTATTTTTAATACAAATTGGTACAAGTACGACCGACTCTCTGCCAATAGTGTCTGATTCAAAATGAAATGTAACTTTTGTGAAAATAACAATTCTGCGTCTGCTAAATGTCAAGAACCAAAAATTCCATTGCCTCGTTTCTCATGCGTTTGTTTTTCTTTCGAGGGATTTATGAGTTGAACGCATCCCTATTACGAATCTTGTCATCCTCCTCTGTCGCGCGCACCAACCTGACTAGGCCAGAGTTGAATTTGCTTGCAGGCGAGGACTGGGCTGGAAACATATGGCTAGAACCTGGAGCACTATTTAGACACCCCAAAAAAAAAAAAAAAAATTAATGATGCAATAGTTGTTTATGGGATTCTTTGTAGTATATTGTGAGCAACGAAAGAAGAGAGGCGGGTCAGTACTCAGTAGTAGTATCTAGGCATGGCCATGGTTCCACTTGGAACCGGGAACCGGACCGGAACCGAACCGTTTGGAACCGGACCAGAACCGGAACCAGAACCGTGGAACCAGAACCGTAGTAGAACCTTGGATAAAGGTTCCGGTTCTGGTTCTCTAAAAAATAGAACCAGAACCAGAACCGCCGGTTCCAGAACCGTTAAAAAATTTAAAAATAATTAATATAAAAAATAATAAAAGTAGAGGCATCATGATGACCAAGGTCATCATGATGCCACCACAATTTTTGCTCTCAATTTTTGCTCTCGGGGGCTCCTCCTGACTTGCACAAAGGTCCTCAGGCTCTCAACGGAAGAAAGAAACAAAGCAAAGGATAGAAAAAAAACAAGAAAGGTGGCTGCCTGCTAAATTTGACAAATTGGGGGTTAGGGTGAATTACAAGTTTACAACGTTACAATTCAACGTTGTAATTTTGTCCAAATTTTCAATACAACGTTACAAATTTGGAACGTTACAATACAACGTTCCAAATTTTTAATTTCATTTTGTCCTATAAATAAGACTTGAAATTTTATTTTCTACTACACCAAAATCAATCTTCTCTCTTCCATCTCTAAACTACTCTCAATTTCTTCATCTATTATCTATTTATTATTTCGTACTTTGTAGAATAATAATAAAATTAAAATATGATATTTATTTTGTATTTATTTTTTTACATTTTATTTAAAATTTTAAATATATTGTTATATTCGTATTAAAATTGGTAAGGATAAGAAATTAAATAAAATTGTATATAACCATACGGAACCGGAACCGGAACCAGAACCAGAACCGGAACCATAAGGAATCGAAATCAGAACTATGCGGTTCTGGTTCTACCTTTTTGAAGAACCAGAACCGCCGGTTCTGGAACCAGAACCAGAACCATCTTATATGGTGCGGTTCTGGTTCTACCTCTTTGAAGAACCAGAACCGGCGGTTCTGGAACCAGAACCGTTGGTTCTGGAACCGTGGCCATGCCTAGTAGTATCTATCATCAGAATCAAAAGAGCCTATAGCAGCAGGTAGGCTGTTTTAACGCATTCGTAAGACCTACATACCTGCCAATATCGTCTTCTGTTCTACTTGTACTTGCTACTTAGTTGAGAGCCTGGTATGTTTGTAGCATCAGTTTTTGCATAATAATCAAACGTAAATGCATATTGAAAGCATTCATGCACTGCTGTAATGCGTTCACGTAAAGTTGCATTAGAAGTTAAGAGCACCCTTTTCCTCCGCTGCTCTACAAAACAACTGGCATTGGGTTTCTCTAAAATAATACTACCAAGAATTGGCCCCAATGACAGCATTACAATTCAACTCAACTCTTACCAAACCTAATCCCTTTTTTTTGGGTTGGAGATGCTGTCAAAAAAAAAAAAAAAGTAAAAAAGGACTTCGGGACTTGGACTAGAGATGCAAACGAATTGAGTTGAGTCGAGATTCAACCTAATCGAGTTGACCTTCAACATAATTTTATGAAATTCAAACTTAAACTCAACGACCTCAAAATGTTAAACTTGAGCTCGAGTTTTAAAAAATAAAAAAATAATTATTTTTATTTTTTTAAAAAAAATAAAATAATTATTTTTTTAATAAATAATAAAATATTAAAAATATATATGTAATTTTATTATTAAAATTAATATATATATACTTACACTATATAAGAACGAGTTTAGAACTAGATTTCAACCGCACGGGTGAGGCTATTTTGGGAATATAAGAGTGTTTGAAGAGTAATTGGAACATTGAGTACAAGTCATTATAGCTTTAATTTCACTATAATTACTTATATAACCTTTCAGACATTTAAGGTTAGGAGCAGGTTTGGTATGTTACAATGTTTGGTGCCAAATTGAGTATCAAGTACAACTGAATAAAGCTTGTGTTTTGATAGAATTACATAAAAGTCCTTTTAATCATTTATTATACTAACATCCAAACCTTCCAATTTCCTAAAACCTTTCTCGTCCGTTAAAGAATTAATTGGATGTTTACATGATTGGATTTTAATTACAATTAATTAACTTAATTATTATCTGAACAATCATTATCATATTTATGTCCCCATGTTTAGATATACCCTTTCTTCTTTTTCAGTTTCACCTCTTTGGTTTTATTATGGCTATTAAATATTTGGTGGAATGCGTAGCTTTTCCTTTAAATTGATGTGAGTTCTTTGGGTTTGTCTTCTTCGATTGTAGTTTTTTTTTCTGATAATTGGTTTATTCAAGAATTCCATATAGTTTGTTTTTGATACTTCTAATTCCAAAAACTGACTAATTGTATTGTTTTCCTTAGTAGATCCCAGAGATTCTGTCTCTGGTCAAAGTACAATTTGAGATAATGTTGTCACTTTCTAAAATAATCAGAAAAACAATTTGATCATCTTCTCCTCCTCGACCAAGGTATTATCTCTTTATTTAAGTCAGATAACGTGTTATTTCTCATGAACTTTCTCCTATTGTTCTTGACTCCATGGATCTGTTGACTACATTCCAGCAGTTATAATTCATGTAGTTATTTTTTCATGTAATATGATTTGGAATTCAACTTGTGTTTATTTTAACTGAGAATTTTATGATTGTAAAATTTATTAACTTAGAATTTTGTTCTTCATTGAAACTAAAAAAGAAAATTAATCATGCTACATAGTACTAAGATGTCATTTGCACTCTATTTGCTTTCCATGTTATGATCTCGTTCTTGTATTATACTGTTTATATAGTTTCAAATACAAAAAATTTGCTTTTTTATGCTATCTAAAAGAATTTGTAGTGAAACTTGATGAGTTTAAATGCTTTAGTTACAGCACCATTTTGATTGCATTGTATTAATTCATTTACTCATAATTGTATGTTGTACAATGATAAATAATGTTTCTTGATTTGATTGAAGCAACTATTATCCATAGTTCAAACGAGTCAATTAAGTAGAAATGTTATATTGGATACTTATACAAGTAAACATTGAAAAATATCATTAAACAGTTTCTACCTATAGTTTGCAATTCGAATTCATATGAGCAATTTCTTCTGATTTTAGTTACCATTTTCTACAATTTCAAATTTAGAAAATATTATTTGCACCAATTTTTTATAATCAAGATAGTTTCAATTCAGATCTTTTACAATTATGCAGATTTGAACTTATTTATGAGATTATAAAGAAATGCCCCTAGCAAAAAACACCAAATCTGAATAGTTTCTACAAAATTTTGAAAAAAACCACTTAAGTTTCTTATTTATCTATCATTTTTGGGCATCATTATCTCTGTAAGAAACATGTGATTAAGTCGTATTATATGCCCACCAAATTATATAAATAGTTAGTCAAAGATAAAATTATTTTAGACTAGATTGGATGCAAAGTGATTGATGGATAAACTTGACTTGATAATTCAGGTTGAGCTTAAGTCAAGGGAGAAATCAGAAACATTGTTTGAGGGATCTTTCATGAACATATATAGATTCGAGAGATGAATGGTCCAATTGATATTTTAAAATGTTTTATCATCTTGGATAAGTTTTAGAATAGACCTTTGGATACTTTTCAATTGCACTTAGACATTCTTACATTTTCAAACTACCCTTATCTTTACAGTTGAAATTTAAACATAATCTTTGATCACAACGGATTCTTATATAGTATAACGATAAAGATGTCTCATTGCACATTATTTTTATTGACTCACTATATAACTTATGATTTTTCTATTAAAATCACATGAAAAAATCATCATACTTAAGTTCCTATACTACAAAATATTAAACAATAATTATTAATTATCTTGAATCACAAGCACCAAATTCCCGCGCGTCGCGCGGGCTATCCCTCCCTAGTATATATATATATAATCGAGTTCGAGTCGACTCGCGAGCTAACGACTTTAGTATTTTTAAATTCGAATTCGACTTAGTTAACTTGAACTTAATAATGTTGATTGAACTTGAGTCGAGTTCGAATTCAACCTGCTCGTGATTGACCCGATTCATTTGCAGCCCTAACTTGGATCCATCTTTTACATTTTTCTGTTTTTCCTTCTAGGGTCGGGTCATGTAGATTAGGAACTAGTAGTACTATTCTATTTGGAGTATCTTTTAAATCCGCAAAAATAGGTGGGAGAGAGAGAGAGAGAAGGGTGAGGAGGTTCCAGACAGAAAGAGAGAACAAACAACACCTGATGCTGATGAAGCAGAAAATCCAAGTCCGGCTCCGGATCCTGTATATTCCTGTGATCAAAATGGAAATCGAAAAAGTTGCTCCTCTCATTATACTTTCCGTAAATAATTCAACACCCACCCCTGATTTCCCAAATACTACCATAATAAAAACATCGAAGCCCTCACCAAAGAAAATCCGTAAATGGCATTTGCCCATTTCCCCCTCCTCAACCTCATCATCCCCTCTCTCCTTTCCCTCCTCTTTCCCCTGCATTTCCACCAGTAACAACAACATCAACCACCACCCTTGAAGAAATTTTCCCAAATCCTAATAAATAATAATGCCGACCCAGGTTGAACAGGGAAGGAGAGAGATGGTGGGGGTGGGGGGCCTCATGAATCATCAGCAAAAGCCATCCGATCACCGCAAGGCCCTGAAACGCTCTCCCACTATGAATCTCAAGAGGCTTTTTACAAAGGCTATGCGTACTGCTTCCCTTTTTAAATCCAAAAAATCTCGGCCTAAGACCCCTATTGACATTGTCCGTCATGCCACCTCGTTGCTCTCCTATCTCCATTCTGCTTCCCATCTTTCTGGCCAAAAGCATTCCGATAAGGTACTGCTATTCTTATTACGGGTTTTACTCAAAACTTCTTCTTTCTTTCTTTTTATCCTCGTTTGGGTTCTTCTGATTTAAAGATTGTTTTTTGAAACAACAAATTTGATCATCGGTTTTTGGGCTGTTTTCGTTCTCTTCTGAGTTTGGCGATTATAAGGTTAGCTGTGTGATATTCGCTATTGATGCTTTTCGAAGGTACATTATGTGTTTTTCACCTTTTCTACTTCTTCTTCTTTTTTTTTTGGCAAAAATTTAATTCTGGCTAGGAATTTGCTTTATTTTGTTCTTGAAATGTAGAGATTTTAATTTGTTTTTCCTGAATCATCAAAGGATTACATTGAAGATTAACAAAGTTTAAATGTAGAGATTTTAATATGGTGTACTGCAATCTCAAGGTGCTGTATCTGGCACTCTTTTCCTGTGGGGGGCCCCGGGGAGGGGGGGGTTACCTATTTCTCTTTTTGCTCACAATTATGAGAGGAGGACATTGCATTTGAGAGCTGTTACTTGTGCATTAAATTCATTATGTTCTCAGCATTAAAATTCAGTGACACAGCTCAACTTGACGTCATTTTGTAACAGTTTAAACTTGGCAAAAATTTTGCAGTGCATAATTCCCTCTGTTTGTTGTTTTGATGTGTCAAGTACTGACTATTGATTCCGAATTGCGTGCCCAATTTTTGAGTTGCAGATGTCAGAATTAGATGTGCTCATAAGGGAGATGAAGCTAATTCTGTACGGAAATGGTGAATCTGAGCCTGTTGCTGAAGCCTGCGCACAACTGACTCAGCAGTTCTTCAAGGAAAACACCCTTCGGCTCCTCATTGTTTGTCTTCCAAAACTCAACTTGGAGGTGAGCTTATTATTTAATGTTGTAAGCTTACCTGTAATCGGAACGAACACCAATTCCTCTTTGTAAATTGTTTTAGTCTTGTTTCACATTTATGCATTCTGATCTAGAAACTATGATTATCGGAGGCTTTTTTTTTTTTCTATTGCTGTTGCTTATTTTTGAATAACCATTGCTCTATAGGCACGTAAGGATGCCACCCAAGTTGTTGCAAATTTGCAAAGGCAGCCAGTTAATTCGCGCTTGATTGCTTCTGATTACTTGGAATTCAACCTGGATCTGTTGGACTTATTAATATCAGGGTGAGTCATCATTGGCAGTATGTTTGCATATTATCACCATCTTGCATATGTTATCTCCTATTATAAGTTTCCTTTGGTCTAAAGTCTTTTTTGTAGCATGTTGGAATCTATAAAAAGATCTTACAGTTCTTTCTGGTCAAATTTTTCTTTGGGAGGTCAGGATAGATGATTACCTGCCGAAAAAGTCACACCAAAGAAATTAGGAAAAAATCTTCTACCTGGAAGCTTACATTGCTGGCCTCCCGACCCATCTTTCTGTGCCATGAAGCATTCTTCTCTATGGATCATTTAGAATACCTTTAGCAAGCAGGAGGCTTTTGAGAAACTGAAGTTTTATAATAATATGTGCTAGAAGATCATGTCCTATCTTTAGCACAGATTGCCTGAATACTGGTCGAAAAACCACATTGCAAATAAGCTTGTCAATTTTTTTATCATTTGTTCATGATAATTCTATATTTTCATGCTGTGGTCGTCTGTAATTCCAACTAGAATTAGCCTATGCTCAATTAGGTGATTGGGTCCAACTTAAGTAGATAATCTGCCAAATTGCATGTTTTACTTGAGAAAATGCAATAGCTTGTCCAGAAGTACAACCAACTCAGAAAAGGGAATATTTTGAAACTTTTTTTTTTTTTTAACATTCCTCATCCTACCTAGGTTTTGTAGGAAGAATTCTGGAAATATTCTGAGAGCCTAAGTAATCTATACCTCAATAGTTTCAGTTCATTGACATGGCCTTAGCTTCGCCACCCAAACCCCCTGCCCCCTTTTGTTATAGCTATGAAGATCCAGCAATGGCTTTGCACTATGGAGGAATGTTGAGAGAGTGTATTCGCCATCAGACAGTTGCAAGGTAAGCAGTTTGCAAGCTATTGGATGTTGAAATTCTCAATTTAGTTTTATGTGTTTACTTATTCAATGTTGTTTGCTATGGTTTTATGATTTTTCGGTCAGGTATGTTCTGAAATCAGTGCACGTGAAAAAGTTTTTTGACTACATGCAACTCCCAAGTTTTGATGTTGCTGCTGATGCCACAGCTACATTCAAGGTTATATTTGTTGTTTTCTGGCTCCCACCTCATCGTCATAGGGCATCCATTGTTAACCTTGAGATTTTATTAAGCTCACTTATCGTCACAAAGATGCATTTGGCTTCTTTTGCATCACTGTCAAAAGCAGTTTTGAGTCATTGAGTTGTACACTTACTATGACATTCAGCAATTTTGGGCCATATAGAGTTCTGGTATAAGCTTGCTATAAAAATGTTGAAATTGCTATCAGGACTTAAAAGGATTTTCTGGCCCTGGGAAAATGGCAGTTAAGCTTACAAGATGTGGAAGGATAGGAAAGCAGCTTTATATTCTTGCCAGGGTCAAATGACATAATTTTATGTTCCAGAACTACTTTTTTTTTAACTAAAATTTCATTTGGTTCTCTTTTAATGGATTACCATACTAATTAAATCAAATTATTTGTGCATGGCATTGGAAAAGCAGCCCCTCCCCCCACCTTTTTTTGATAGATCTTATCCCCTTTTTGGATTCTTAAGAAACACGTTAATAAGTTTTGGTTATTCTGGCAAAATCTTGCAGGAGCTTCTGACGAGACATAAGTCCACAGTTGCAGAATTTCTTGCTGAAAATTATAATTGGGTAAGTTCTTGCTTCCATTGGTGCAAGAGTCTCATTTAGTGCCGCACTTAATGTTTCAAGTGTCAAGGTTTCTTTTGTGAATTCTGTAGTTTCACCATTTTCTTTGTTCTCTAACTTTATAGTAGTTTAACCTTTGCTATCTTCATATTTGATCTTCAGTTTTTTGCTGAATTCAACTCGAAGTTATTGGAATCTCCAAATTATATCACTAGAAGACAAGCTGTCAAGGTATTCATTCGCCAAGCAATTACAATATACTATTGGTGTTTTGAGTTTTGACATCATTTATCCTTAGAAGATTTTATATGGCTGTCATAATTGTGACTAGATGTGCCACATCTAATTGCATAACTTGATATTCGGTTTGATCATGGAAAATATAATCCATATCCTGTCTCTGTGAGTGTTCTGATATCTTGTTTTCATCTTGTTTCCATGGTTAATTGAAGAAGTCTCACTTTATTCCTTGGCCCATCATATTTGGAGTTTTGAATGTGGAGATCTCTTTACTAGCCTAAGTTGGTTCTTGAGCAAACGGGGCTGTATTTAAATTTGTTTGCTGTGTTTGATGGAAATGCTTGTGGCTGGAACCTGAAGTTTGTTTTTCTTCTCCCCCTAGCTTTTGGGAGATATTTTGCTCGATCGTTCAAATGCTGCTGTGATGGTACGCTATGTCAGCTCAAGGGATAATCTGAGGATTTTAATGAATCTTCTGAGGGTATGTAATCTGCCTTTTGATGAAAATCCACAAACGTACACAAATTTCTCACAGAATTCTACGCGTAATTCTTGCACTGAAGCCCTACTCTAAAAGATAGGCTGCAGATGAATTGATTTAGGCTCGATAGTCCATCGTTGCATCTTACATGCTACATATACATATAATTTTTTTTTTTTTGGGTTTGAGGGGTAGAAATTTAAATAGTAATAACATTTACATATAATAATTATTCTGAAATTCTCGTTATCTAAAGTTGCTAGATTTCCCGTTTTGCAGGAGTCAAGCAAAAACATTCCGCTCGATGCATTTCATGTGTTCAAGGTGTGAATATCTTGTGTTTTGAATGTGCTTGCTTGTGCTCTCTTAATTTAACGGGTTTGTGTTCTCTGCCTGTAGCTTTTCGTGGCCAACCAAAATAAGCCTCCTGACATAGTTAACATTCTGGTAGCCAACAGAAGCAAGATTCTACGTTTCTTCGCTGGCTTCAAGATTGATAGAGGTATGGCTACTTTTAAAGCCCCCACACGTCACAGTATAGGCGGCAGAGCAGAGGTTGGAGAACTATGGCCTTGCTGCTAATTGTCTTCTTTTTAACCTTTGCAGAGGATGAAGCCTTTGAGGCGGACAAAGCTCAAGTCGTAAAGGAAATCTCAGAACTTGAAGCCACAGCATCCATTGGCAATTCTGGAGAATTACGAAAGCTCAAGTTTTACTGAAGCAAATTTTGTAAAAGTGACTGAAGTTGCCTTTTGATTAGAAGAAACAAATTTGTTGATGAAATTATCATTGTAAAGTAACTGAAGTTGCCTTTGATTAGAAGAAACAAATTTGTTGATGAAATTAGCAAATGACAAATGATGGTGAAAGTGTCAAGAATACAAATTGTATCGAAAGAGCTGGGGATCCTTCCCTTCCAAGGTTTAAGAGTAAACCAGAAATGCGAAAATGGACGGACATTTGGTTTTTTCAAGGGAAAAAAAAAAAAAAGAGGTTTATTAACTTATTAAATTACTTCTTCCATCTCATAAATAAAATAAATTATTTTGTAACTTTTTCTTGTCCCAAATTAATCGTCAATCTACTTTTCTTTTAATTTAATGAAATTTTATCTTTATCCTTCATGCGGCCGATCATTTATTCTCAACAATGATCAATACATCAAATAAAAGATAATCCGCTACTAAGGATAGAAAAGAAGTTCTCTCTCCTGCTAACATCATTTTACATACATAAATTACACATTCTCCAAAAAATATGGAACAAAGGAAGTATTTAACAAACAATAATAACAAAAAAGATAAAACATAGATTTTATTTTATTTTTTTCTTTTTGGCGCCTGCTTAGAGTTTTGGAAGTTTGTTAAGTACTAGTAGTATACGGCACGTGACAATATTAAAATTTTATTGTGGATCCATTTCTTGCATGCTTATCCTGCCGTACCTGTAGGCGGATGGGGAATGGGTAAAAGCATTAATAAGGTAAACAAGTTCAACACGTGCACGGAGCCTCAGACTAGTCCAGTCGCGGAGGCTATGAGCGCAAGCGCGGGGAGATGAAAGCAGACGCTTAGATTATTTTATTCGTCTTCATCGTCGTAAGTTTTCCATTTTACTCGGAAACTTTGAACCTTCAGTATTTAAGGGTCCGCGGTCGTTGTTTTTGTAGCTTTTCTGTCCGCGCACCAGATGTTCGATGGAATTCCTAAGTGAGTATGTTTATGGGGTTTAGAACCGAAGTTATCGCTAGATTGTAATCTGTCTGTCTGAATTGGTATCGACAGGCAGCAAATTAGTCCATTCCCTTTTGGCTCCATATGGTTCATCATTAAGTTGAACGTAACTCTATAATGGAGCAATGCTTCTTTGGTAAATAAATTGGAATTCGTTCCTGCATTTAATTTCCAATTGACATGCATGAGTGGGATGTAATTTATGGACGATTTTTTGAATTGTCAGTGATGCAAATAAGGCTTTGTAGTAGCAATCAATCAAATGGTGTTGTGCTACCCTTCCACACCTAAGAAGTTGGTATCAACGGTGGCATGCTTCCTTGGTGGTGCTTGTCTATTTGGCTACGGGTTGCATCTGTGGCACTCCAACATTGGCCCTCAGCAAGCTCGGATTAAAGCTCGGAATGAGTTTGTCAGACAGCGTTTGAGACAGAAACATGGAAAGGAGTAGACTGCCCATATCAATATGCTCCAGTTATTCACGGCCTTCACCGCTGCTGGGAGTAATGCTACTTGTCATTGGATCACTGGCTATTCAGAAATTATGGTGGTGGTGTTTCGAACGGTTCAACTTGAAATGACTCTAGTAGAATTCACTACAAGACTCGGCTGCGTGTAGTCTCTTCAATGTAGCTTGCAGTTTGCTAGGATTTTCTATTACCTGACTCGCTGAAAATAATAACAATGTTGCCCTGATTATGAATTTACTGGATCAAAATTAATAAGATCACTCGTACAGCAAGGATTGAGAGATCAATGGTCGTAACCGTCTTCCCTCTTCTCTGTGTGAGTTGTCTTCCTCCACCTGATTAATAAGATTGATTACACTATTCAGCATTCTGTTCACCAGGCTTTTACGAATAATTTGGTAAGCATTCTGAGTTTTGTCATTCTCCCTCCAATTCTTTATTTTGTCTAGGATTCCCTTTTGAAGTCTTCTTTACAATCCTTAATCACCCCACCAATTCTCCTATGGCAATGGAGTGCAAACTTATTTCTTATTTGTTTTTAGGGATAATTGCAGAAACCTCCCTTGAGATTTCTAATAGTTGCATTCACATCCCCGGAGGTTTTGAAAATAGGACTAACCTCCCCTAAACTTAAGGTTTTGATAGCAGATTCACCCATGTCAGAAAAAATGCCATTAAAAAAATCTTTTGAGAAGTAAGATAATAATTTTGTTCCATTTATACTCTTTTTGTCTCTTGTGAGGTTGTATTAGTAAAAGAATGAAAAATATTAAAAGGTGGAAACAGTTAGTGAAACTAAAGAGAATATAAGGGCAAGGAAAACTAGTGCGGTAGCAACAATTAGAAGAAGCAATGAACATACATTCAGAAATCTAATATTGTAAAACATATAAAGTGTACATCCAATTTCAAAAACTATCCTTTACTAAAGAAATTTTTTGTATTAAATTAAGATAATAAAGGATTGCTTATTTATTATCTTTTGATTGCCGCAAATTTTTAACAAAAAAAATCCTTAGATTTTGCCTTGATTTTTGCTTTCTTTCTCCTTCTACTTCATGAATGTTTAAGATAAAGTGAGGTTAACCAAAATCACCAGAACTTATTCTCTTATGGAGCCTTGTCTGGAGGTTTCTTTCCCCTACATTTTTCTTGCTTCTGCTTCTCTTCTATGCAGATAATATACAATTTAGATTGTCCTCTCAAGTGCTATCAATCATAAAATAACATTATATTGGAGCATCAATTGGCGTCATTTTATAAGTACACTTACAGTGTCTAATCAGGCAAGAAATAACTGTGAATCTTATTTAATTACTTATTCTGAACTTGTTTATTGCTTTTTTTTTTTGCCCTAAATTTGTTTACTAACAACCTTAAAATCTAAGGGTGTATAGGTAAATCCACCCTATCTTACATCAGTTATATACTCCAAATTCATGTTAGGGGAGGTTAGAGCTATTTTCAAAACCTCAAAGGAGGTGAATGCAACTGTCAGGAACCTTAGGGGAGGTTTTTACAATTATCCCTTGCTTTTACATGTTCCGTCTTTTGGCTCTAACATTTCCTTTTCTCGCACGACCTCGTTGCGCCTCTATAATTTCGTAAAGGGTTTGTCTTGTAAGGAGACATTCAATAACAAAAGCAATACATGTTAACTTTTAACACAACTGAGGGAAATTCTTATAAGAACAAGGGTCCGTTTTGGATTAGCTGTTTTTGGGGTTGTTTTTCAAAAACAACACTGTAGCATTTCGCTTTTGAAATATAAATCTGTTTGGATTAGTTATTTTTTGAGTTGTTTTTCAAAAACTATATGAAAAACTTTTACTGTAGATATTTTTTGGATTATTTTTAGAGGTATTTTTAAAACATATTTTTGAGTATTTTTATAATTTATAATTTATATATTTATATATTTATATACATTTATGCATTTATAATACATTTATAAATATTTATATATAAATATATTTATATAAAAATATATAAATGTATTATATTATATATAATACATAATATAAATATATTTATAAATGTATAAGTGTATATTATTATAAATGAATATTATATAAATGTATAAATTAATATATTATAAATATATATTAATATTATGTATAAATGTATAAATGTATTAAAATTATGTATAAATGTAAAATTAATATTATGTATATTAATATAAATATATAAATGTATTATATTATATATAATACATAATATAAATGTATATTATAAATATACATAAATATATATATTATGTATAAATGTACATTTATATAAATGTATAATATATATAATATATAATTTATTATATAATATATAATTTATATAATATATAATATTTATATAAATATTTTTTAAATATATAAAAATATTTTTTAAATAAAATAAGTTATTTCTAATATAAATATATAAATATATAATATAGAAATATTTAATATATATAATATACATTAATATTAATTATAAATATTATAATATTATAAATATGGTGCTTATATAATATTTCAATTTGTAATATTTATTGTATATTTCATTATATAAATATTTATATAATATATAATATATAAATATATAATATAAAATTTTCAATTTGTATAATATACATAATATTATATATATAGTATAATGTACATAATATAATATATTATACATAATATACATTTATACAAAATTAATATTATGTATATTATATATTATACATAACATTATTATACACAATAATGTACATAATAATGAAAGTACATTAATAATGTATATATTATAATATAATGTACATATTATATTATGTATAAATATTTTTACATTTATGTATACAATATTACATATTATGTATATTATATTATATTATGTATAATGTACAACATTATGTATAATATTAATGTATATAATATATAATATATAAATATATAATTTTCAATTTGTATATTTCAATATATATTAATATAATATATATATATATATATACATATAATATACATAATTGAAATATACATATTAAATATGTATATTTGAAGTTGTTTTTGATATAATGTTTGGATATGGTGTTTTTGGAATTGTTTTTAAAATACACATTTACTATAGCATTTGAAATGTGAAAAACAATTTTTCAAAAACAGAAGCAAAAATAAGGAATCCAACGGACCCCAAATAAGTTTAAACATTAGAGTGTTCGACTTGATTAGACTAATTTACATCACCACTTCCTAACCACATATAAATATCCAGCTTAGCATTTAATGTAAAGGTTCTTACATTGTAATTGGTATCCCTTGTGCATACAGGCTTTCTTAATGAATCTCATTATTTTAACAAATTTGAAATGTTATCCAAATTTAATTTTTTTTATTTGTCGAATCGAGTTTGAACGAATTTTTTATCTAATTTGAATGTTATCAAATATAAAACGTTGCTCAAATTTAGCTTAACTAATTGGTGAACAAAACTTAAATGAGCTGGTTACCAAATCAAGTTCGATTCAAATGTCAAGTAGTTTGGTAAATCTTTCATCTTTATTGGGAGGACCCTTATTAGAATAAATCTTGGGCCCCTATTAGAATAAACCTTTTTATGATGTACTTCTGTACACTTGTTTATTTAGTCAGAAGTGCTAATTTTTATTTAACTAGATCTACCTATTTTGTACCTCAAATACACAAGCGGTCTCTTAAATCTCGA